GTAGAGGAAAGCTTTTCTTTGGTATAGATTTCGTAAGAATTCAAACATCTACCAGTACCCCTTTTATCATTCCTTTGCTAAGTCCAAGGAAAATCAAGCAACGAAGTTGTAAAAAGGACCATAATTAATTGAGGATAATTTGACCAAAAGGATATTACACTTGATAGGTTTTACAAGAATTCTATGTTTCAAAAAATCTGTTATATTTTCCAATGTTTTTTATTTATCTATTTTGCATATACATTTCTGTCAGGGTTATGGATACCACATACCTAATAGTAGTTGACTAAATCTCGACAGGACCCACCACATACCATGTCTTATACGGAAACTGACCTCGGATATGGAGGGAGTTCCGGATAAAAAAAGATAACCAGAGTTCTACATGGAAACGACAAGGACTACTCGGATTATATCCATATTGGTTTCCCTAGTTCTACTTGGACAAGGGGACACCTATGGGTATAAATACAAGGCCCCCTAGGAGGAGAGGGGACACGGAACAATAGATCAAGACACAAGATCAACATACAAGCCAACATACGCCAAGACAAGACGCCGGATATCGACTTCAGAGATAAGCATGGCTAGTCCCCTACGGTGTCTACGGATACTGTCAGGAGAGACATAGCGCTGTCTTTGATCTCGCCAGATGCGGATTCGAGGAGGAAGGCTACCCTGTTGTCCACTACGAGTCAGCACTTCAGACCGCCAAGTCGACAACAGTTAGATAGGCTACCCCAAATATTGTACTGGTGTGATTATGGTAAATAAGAGCAACGACCGGCTTCGGCCAACAGGAGTAGGGTTATTACCTGACAATTCAGGGGCCCGAACCTGTATAAAAATCCTCGTCGCCATCTTTTACCTCAGTCTCGCATATATCCTAGCACCAACGATCCCCATACTATGCAAATACCGGAATCGCGACATCAAACGTCGACAATTTCTACTCCCTCTGTCCCCCAAAAAAATGAATTAGGACTGGATGTGACATATTCTAGTACAACGAATCTGGACATATGTACGTATAGATTCATAGTACTAGGATGTACTAGGTTGGTTTTTATGGGATAGGGAGTATGTTGTTACTATGTGTTTTTTTTATCCCTATAGCTTTTCTTTACTGTGTTCCAAATAATTAAGCCCGGCCCTCACTTTCTCTTCAACATCACACATACTAAACTATCACAGCTCTTGTTTCAGATCAGTCATTGCTATTATCAATGATCATTCTGTTACCGTGTCATACTGTATAGGTTTCATGACCTCTTTAATCTCTTTGATTTGACCAAAACACAATTCTTTAAGGATAAAAAAAGGAAGCAGGGGTGAATAGTACATGCATGGGACATAATTAAACAGTGAGATGAATCTTGCCATTATTGGGCTGGTGTGGTCACATGCATTTGTTTGTTTAGGGGACAACATTTCATTGCACATATATATCAAGTTAAAATAGCATGCATGGCAGATCAAATCAAATCACATATAGTAGCATGGAGTTTCTCGAAGGCATCACATAATTAATATATTAATTCAAAAACATTCCGGTCTCTTGTGAATAATGCAAATGCAATACGTGATTGAGTAGTAGCAGTAATATAGTCACTAGGAGCTGAAGACCCCATGGACGACCTGCGGTATCATATATAACTAAGACAGATAAGAACAAAATATGCTGTTCTGAAATGCAGATGGATCACCAAATGAGACAGTAGAACGTCCAAAGATATGAATAAGCACAACACAGAGTATGAGTTAAGAAGATAATAAAGCCAAGAAAATCCTTTTCCATATAGATGCTTCATCAGTCTATCTTAGTTTGGGACGTACGTACGTACTGATAGCCTTAATTTGCCATTAAAAATGATTAGCATTCAAATATAGTACTACTAAAAAAATGCATGCAAAAAGCTTATTAGTGTACCTAGTCTATATCTTTCATATCCACATGCCTAGCCTGGAGCTTAATTATATATTCTTGATGTGCCAAAACAACCATGCAAGAACAAACCATTTGCTTCAGATAAATATTATTTTCTTGCTTGCTAGCTAGTACATAGTCTTTATAGTCTAAATAATATATAAACGCCATAATTAAATCGATCCACATATTGTTCATACATATACAATTTAATATATGATCACGCGTGCGCTAACCATAACGTACATAACTTTGATAATATTTTTGTTAAGAATTTTTTTTGTGGATGGGAGTGACCATGCGAAGACAGCTGCGTCATACACATGCATATGCACATGTGCAAATAACTTAGAATTTTTCATAAAGATCTCACAAGAAGATACATATCAATTTCAAGCGGAAATTTGACATAAAAACTCTTGCTCCAATCAAGACCTTAATTACTTAGTGAAATTACCACATTACGAACCTATATGAATATGAACAGGTATGTACATGCATGCTTGTGTTTTTTTTAATGTAAAATATGAATGACACAAATAATCGAGAAACTTCGCATCAAATAAATAACATAGAAGAAATTGGCACACAAGTTGAGCTCAATTGATTATAAGTGCATGCTTACCCTAGGGATGCAAGTGAGCAATCCCGGTACCCACATAAAACTGCCTTAGTAATATATAGTTCATTTTCCACAAATTTTGAAGGAAAAAAAAGATTAACTAGAACTGTGAATTGAGATAAGCAGAGGAGTAAATTTCATATTGGACCATATATTTTGACCAAAATTTCACAAGGTACAAAAGCCAAACCAAACTTTTCACTTACCAAATATTTTTGCACTAGTTAGCACTTTGAACTAGGGATCAAACAATCATGGTAAGATATATCTGTTTAGATAATCCCATCAAATAATTTTTTTTAGCAAATCAGAAAACAACTTTTTCAGAAAATTATACCTAAAAATAGTGATATACAATATTAAAAGGTGACACAAATTGACCTATGCAAAGGGACAAATGAAGTTCTCTCACATATTCCCCTAGTACGCTCACCCTAATTCAAGCTCACCCTAATTTAAACTGAAAACTTATGTAAAGATGTGTGGTATGGTGTTAAGTGAAAATATTGGTTTACCCTCATCCATTATAAAATTAACCTTGGTTAAATGTGTGGCTGAATGTGAAATTCACTCCAAGGTGGTGAAAAAACCACTTGCCCGTCCCATGCAAGTGATTCCCAACCGATCCCCAAAACAAAAGACAGCTGCTGCAAAGAGCTTTATGAAGACAAATCACAACACAACACAGCACAAAATAGAGGGCAAGAATAATGGTGCCGTATGTGTGCATATATCAAGAGATCTCGAGATCGATATAGATGGAGGTGCATGCAAGAGCAGGAGACGATAGATGGTGTGCGTACCGTGTAGTCACAGTCAATGTTGCACTCATGCAAGACAAGGGATCCATTTGTCCACAGCTGTGCAAACCCCACTATTTTCTGCGTGGGATGAGTATGTGTGTGGCAGTGTGTGTGAGCCCCCAAACACTATTGGGCCATAAAGACAGAATAGGCCATGTTTGCATGGAAAGCGTTGCACTAGAGAGAGAAAGAGAGAGATAATATATACAATCAATACATGCAATAGTAATGCACTATAGATCGAAGGAGAGAGAAGGAGAGAGAGGAGACAACTCATTTCTGGCCTTCACTACTACTATACTGGGTAAGATATAGTATATGGCCAGCTTATTAGTAAGATAGAGTTAGCTAGCATTAGATTTCCATTGCCCCAAATTAAGCTATCTAGTAGTATAGCTCTAGTGCTACTATATATTCTCTCTCCCTCTCTATCACCATATACATACAACCAAGACATGCACCAAGAGAAAAAAAATAGGCAAATGTGTACTAGAGAGAAAAAGACAGTAACCAGCCATGAACACCAGGTAAACCAACAAGTAGCAAGGTCAACAAAAGAGGAGAGGAAAAAAGAAGTGTAAAAAATGAAAACTTTTTTTTTCTTTTTTGCTGGGTCACTTTCACTCTCTCTCTCTGCCCATTTGTTGTAGCATGGGAGGAGACCAAATTTGCAATAAGAATAAATTGGGAGGGTGTGTGGGGTTAAAACATTGACCGGCATCGATCGCTCCCATCATTCATAGCTAAGTTAGATTCTCGTTGTCTCCCTCTTCATATCCCCCACATGCTTGTGTACCCCTCGATCAGCTGCATATGGCCCTCCCATTTGCGCCAAATACACTCAAAATTTTCTGGCCTCAAATAAATCCAAAAGAAAACCACATCCATCAACAGTAAAAGGCAAACAGATTGACGGTGATCACATATATCCTTTAGTTAGAACATATTCTTGTACACAAAATGGATAGCTACACATATCTATATATAGGACGCAGGTGTACGCATGTAACTACTGTTTTTATTGGCAAGAAAATTGAATTAATGCAACACTTTTTAGAAAAGAAAGTTCAGCGCGTGTTGAAATTAATTAATTATATTGTTGTTAAGAGAGCAGATCGATATCTCACAAACTGTTTAAAGAGAAACCAAAGTGCACACAAAACAGTTTTTTTCTATATAAATGATTTGGACCGAAAGCAGGACCATAAACATAGATAATGAGAACAACATGCATGATACATAATTACATATATACCAAATTAATATCTAGCTCGCATCTGATTTTATAAGAAAGCAATAAGACAAGATACAAACCTCACACTGTTCAAAGAGAAACCCAACCTAACTATGCCCAAGTGCACACAAAACAGTCCTTTTTTGTAAGATTTGGAATGAAAGCAGGACCATATACACCATTATTATTTTTAGGTAATCAGAGCAACATGGATACATATATATACCCAATATCAAGCTTTGCATGTGGTTTTATAAGAAAGTAGTAAGACAAGGTACAAAATCAAGTAGGGTAATCAACCTTTCTTGTCAATGTCTCAATGCATCAATGCACATGACCCACCAAGGCACCAACACACATGCACCACCCCGCCCAAAAAAAAACCAAGAAACATTTGGCCCCCCAAACAAACAGTTTAATTACCTCCAAATTACCTCTTTGATTTCCAAAATATCACCCCAATAAACAGGTACACAGAAAAGGCAAAAGAAAAAAAAAGGAACATTAATAGTCGACGATCAACAACTCACCAATGCAAGAAATCCTTTAATTTGTGATGCAGCTAGCTAGCAGCATGCATGATCTTAATTTCCCTACTCAGCTCGATCAGAGAGATTAAAAAAATAGCCCAAAAGGATCATTCTCATCTCCTGTAATGTGGATATAAATAACATGTAATTAATTAGTTCTAAGCTTACAAGGAGATAGTAGAGCAGAAGCGGCCACACCCCCTTTCGTCGTCAGGGGAAGCCATGTGGGGAGAACAACGACGATGGCCCTCTGCTCCCGCCGTCGTCGCCGTCGCCACCGTCGTTCATCTTCCCGAACTGCGCGTCCATCCCCAGGTTCAGGTACACCATCCTGTTGTCCAAGCTCAGGTTCACCATGCTCGAGCTGGTGCCACTGGCATTGTACACGCCACCGCCGCCGCCGCCGCCGGGGGACTCGCCGTAGATGGGCGCCGCATTGACCGCGGCGGTCTGGGCGTCCTCCCGGGACATCACCATGGCCGCCGACTGCACGAGCTCCAGGCAGAGGCGGAGCTTGTTGGGCTCGATGTGCGCCAGGCCGGGCACGGCGCCCTTGAAGAGGAAGTCGGAGGTGAGCGTGCGGAGGATGTCGAGCGGCGTGACGCCGTCGACGGTGCGGACGTTGGGGTCGGCGTGGTGGTCGAGCAGCACGGCCACCATGTCCGGGCACACCATCTCCGCCGCGACGTGCAGCGGCGTCTTCCCGGCGGGGCCCGCCGGGTGGTTGACGTCGGCGGCGCCGAGCTCCAGCAGCGCCTTGACCACCTCCCGGCTGCAGTTCTCGACGGCGTAGTGCAGCGCGAGGGCGTCGTCGAGGTTGAGCCCCTCCCCCATCACCATGAGCTTGACGAGCTCGACGTCGGAGGAGTCGAGCGCGCGGCGCATGCGGCGGATCTTGTGGTGGTCGTCGAGCTCGGCCGCCGACGACGCCTCGATGCCGGCGGCGGCCGCGTGCGGGTGGTGGTGGTGGTGCGAGAGGAACGGCGAGCGGCGCGACATGGACTTGAGGCGGAGCTCGTCGATCTTGGCGACGACGTCGATGGGGAGGTGCTTGGCGAGCACCTCCGGCGGGAGCCCCGACTTGGCGACGAGGTGGGAGCACGTTGTCCACAGCTGGTGCAGGTCCTGCTTCCTCGACGCCATAAGCACCTTCATCACGTCCTCGATCGACGCCTTCTCCACCATGCCTGCCAGCTGCTTCTGCACACATCCATCAACACACATGTACACAATTATATTTTCACATCGCTTCGCTTTAATTCACTGTGCTCACTAAAGCTCGCGAGCATGGAGGTGGGGGAATATAAAGGAAGAGGAGAAAGAAAGGAAGAAGAAAAGATTGTGCATGCCGATGCCGTAGTGGATTGGCCCTGTGCATAAAATATAAGGAGGGGAACAGAGAGTACAACAGTATGGCGCTGATTGGGGCTAAGGATTAAAGGGAGAGCAACAACAACAAAAAAAAAGTTGGAAAGAAACCCTAGCCCGAAATCGCAAATTACCGCCAAAAAAAGGCGTCTTTCATCATCCTGGAATCCCTAATTGCACCTGCACTTGCATTGCCGCGCGGAAAGCTAGCTAGCTGAGCGCTGTGCTGCCACAGTAGCGAGCGGCGATATTACAACTACTGGTCAACTAAGCTGCAGCTGCTTCTTCTTCTGCTGCTGCTTCCTTTGTACAAGCTGGAGGAAGAAGAAGACGGCCAGTGTGCACGAACAGTGACAAAAAGGAGAAGAAGAAAGAAAAGAAAGAGAAATTAATTAAATCTCCTTGTAAGGAAGGAACGAACCCTAGCTGCTACTAGCGATGGAGATGTGAATGAATGAATGAATGGATGATGATGATGAGATCGCATCGTAGCACGAACCATGTTGAAAGGGAGGAGGAAGCAAATTTGGCACATGGATGGACGGACGGACGGATAGATGGATGGACATGGATGGGTGAATGGACGGACAGAGAAAGATGGAGAAAAAGATAGATGGATGGACAAAGAAAAGCTAGCGAGAGATGGAGAAAGAAAGACCGCGCGCGCGCACGCACGCACGCACGGCGACGACGGCGACGAGACGACGAGTAGTAGCAGCTGCCGTCACTGCAGCAGCTTCTTCGCGATCTCGTCCTCCTACTCACCACCATTCCACTATCGAGCTCGCTTCATTTAAAAAGGGTGGAGATATATGGAAGGGTACAGAGATCAAATCAATGCTGCAGAATGCTCGCCAATCCCAAAATAACCAACCAACACCCATCTTGATCCCCACAATCCGCAGGAGAGAAAAAAAATTAAAGCGTTCGATTTTGTTTTCTTTGCTGTTTTTTTCTTCTGTCTTTTTCAAGAACGGATAAAAGGAAGAAGAAGCAATTGGAATGGAGGAGGGGAGAATTGGAGGAATTGGAAAGTGGAGTGGGTGATTGATTACCTGGGTGAGGAGGGCGAGCTCCTCGACGCCGAAGGAGCGCGCGGCGGCGAGGGTGTCGAGGGCGAGGTCGACGGCGGCGGCGCAGTGGGTGTGCCAGCAGCCGCGCTCGCCGCAGCCCGGCCGTGGCTCACCCTTCTGCGGCACCAGCGACACCTGACCGCTGTACAGGAACTGGAGGAGCAGCAGGAACACCTCGTAGCTGACCGAGCTGACCGGTATCACGGCGCCGGGCGTCGCCGCGGCGGCGGCGGCGGCGGAGCCCCCGGCGCCGCGCGGGGAGGAGGCGGAGGCGCCGCCGGAAGGGGAGCGCGGGCTGAGGTGATCCAGGAGGAGCGCGCCCGGCGGCGCGGCGGCCTGGTCGGCGGCGGCGCCGCAGAAGAACTTGCGGAAGAAGAGGCTGCGCGCGGCGAGGATGCAGCGGTGGGCGTGCACCAGGCGGCCCTCCACGCTGAACGTGACGTCGCTGAACGCCTGCCCGTTGATGAGCAGGTTGAGGTAGTCCATGGACAGCGACTTGAGGGTTTCCTCCATGGCCGCCGCCGCCCTCGGCCTCCTCCTGCCTCCGATGAGCTGGAGCTTGGAGAGAAGGGAAGTGAGCGGAGGAGAGAGAGATCAGCTCAGCTCAGGGGGAGGAGTAGTGGAAGCGGTTGCTGTTGCTTTCTTGGCTCTGCTCCTCCTGCTGCTGCTCTTGGCCTCCTCCAACCTTGTGCTGCATCTCCCGATCTCTTTTGATCTTCTCTTCTGTCTGTGACCACTTCTCCTCTCCTCTCCTCTCTTTAGACTTCACTTGTCTTTCTCTCTCCCTCTCTCTATCTCCCTCTTGCTTGTTATTGTCCTCTTTTATTTATTTCTCCCAGTCCCTCTCTATCTCTCTGGACTCTCTGCTTTGGTGTTGCTCTCTTATCTCTCCTCTCTCTCTCTCTCTCAATTAAGTGTCAAGTGGTATATGCTTGAGATTTTTTGGGGTTGTCTTAGAGGGAGGGGGTTGAGTACTTGAGTGAGTGAGGTGTATGTATGTATGGGGAGAGGGAGGGCAACATGGGTGGTTGTCCTGGCCGGTGGCTGGGGCATAAATAATTGATGGGTTTAATTTAAAAATGATTGGGGGAAATGATTAAAAATTACTTGTATCTGCACAAACAAAACATGCATGAGTACATGTCTATTTCTCTGGGGCCAGGATAATTTGGAAAAATGTACATATAAGAAGGGGAGAGATTGTACATATCCATGATGAGGTGTGTGCGAACAAAATTACTTGTAGAATTAAGAGAGAACTCACACCCATGACAGTAGAACTAAAGTCATAAATCAACCTACCTTAGATTTAATTCAACCACCCAAAATTTGTTGCCGGTTCTATATTAAGTTAGATTAAGTGAAAAGTTTTGTTTGATATACATGTCTTGTTTCCATTTCTATGTACAATATTGTATTTTGTATAAAAATATATCGATCAAGATATAGCTTGGATCTGTCATGATCAACAAATAGCTAGATAGATGTCAGCTTATATGAAATTGACACTAATAATGAATTGACAATCTTGGGATTAATGTTGTGTTAAACAGTACTAAGTTTTTGTTGTTGCAAACATTTTGATAATTCCAAATTGATTGCTTAATAAGGGGGAATTTAATTATCTAAGCTTACCAGTGCAGATCTTTTTCATTGGATTAATATCCAATGGTTGCTCTCAGTTGATCTCCCCCACCCATTGTAGAAATTCGTCTATTTTTAATAAATATGTGACAGTCTATTTTCAGCTAATCAATTCTCAAGGTAAAAGCTTTTGTACACTGACTGTTTTGTTATATATATGTGCACAAAGATTGGAGACTTTTTTTTTGAGAATATACCTTTTATTTTAATGATTTGCACTTATATACCTGCATGATAAAAAAACATAGAAATATACGTGGGCTAGAAGTGCGGAACGGTCCATGGCCCGGAAGTGCAGCAGCATGGTGGCCAGCGGGGCCGCACGACACCGAGACGATCCCGCACGGTTCTGCTAGCTTCCGCGCTGTCGCACTTCCAGGCCACGGTACTTTCATGGTTCCATACCTTTGACCCACGTGATCGTAGCGGTTCCGCTCGCTCGTTTTGTGGGAACAACTCTGTTGACGGTCCCACATCTCCGCAACGCGATTTGTGAGCACACCCGCATTTTCAATATGTGGCAAGCGTATATTTGTATAATTCTTTTCATGCAGGTATATAAACGTAAAATATTTTAATAAAAGGCATATTCTCGATATCTTTTCCAAGATTGGAGAGCTAGCTAACCGGCCTTACAAGTTACTAGTAGGTGGCACATCACTATTTCAAAGTATCTGGATTATCTTAATTATTAAATAGCACAAGTACAAAAAAAAAAGAAGAAGAAGATGGGTATTAAGTCAGAATGGGAGGCAGAAAAATAGTGACGCCCTGCCAAATAAACAAAATCTGATCCGTAAAATTAACGCAAGCCGGCCGCAACCTTAAGGTATTAATTGGCCTAGTCACATAGGCGTGCTAGCTGCACCTTGCTGACACGAAAGAATTAGAGCATACTCTATCTGTTTGATATATGCATGTGTGTGTATATGTATACATACAACACCTCCTATAATATTGATAATCATTAATTTCTTTGAGATTGACTAATTTAGAAGATTCTTCATCATGTTTTATTAATTGCCAAATGATGTGATGCATCATTAACTGATGATTAGGGAGGCATAAAGTATTAAGAGGGCATCTTTGTTTGATTAGTACTTTTTATTTGTAATTGTGCTTCGTTAGTTGATACAGTTATACTATATATATACTCCCTCCGTTTCGTTTTATTTAACACCGTTGACTTTTTAGCACATATTTGACCGCTCATCTTATTAAAAAAACTTTTGTGAAATATGTAAACTATACGTATGCATAAAAATATATTTAACAATGAATTAAATGATAAGAAAATAATTAATAATTATTTAAATTTTTTGAATAAGACGAGCGGTTAAACATATGCTAAAAAGTCAACGGTGTCAAATAAAACAAAACGGAGGGAGTATACTTTATGTTGCGCTCTTCTTAACTTTTCTGTTCCCTCTCTTTTCTTTTTCTTCCCCCTCACGTACTTTTTTCTAACTTTACGCTGGATAACTTGAGACAGATTGTGGATAATGTGTCTAGCTAAAAGATTGATTAGATTTTTTTTTTCAATATGCTCCCTGCTACAAATTATTATTCTCAGGACGTCGATAATAACCAATAACCCGATATATAATACTGCCTTATCCATCCACCAATTAATTAATGTTGGCCGTTGTGGCATTTTTTTTATGCATGGTCTAAGAACATCTATCTGAACTTACACTAATATTGGCAAATTTAGGGAACTATATATCATCCATGCTTTGCCCCCATAATAATTACTACTAGTACGAAAAAAAAATCATCGATGAAGAGAAGGATGGGTATGTTAGAGTAGTATATATATATATATATATATATATATATATATATATATATATCAATCTCGAACAGCAGAACTTAAAATAATATGTGGACTAGCGTCTGCGTCATAAAATTCTCTTGAGAGTTAGTTGCAGGGTAGTTGGTTATATAGTTAATCCAAAAAAAATGTGATAGGGGAATTGAGTACGTACGTGCTGATATATACTCCCTCCTTCCCTAAATGTTTGACACCGTTAACTTTTTTAAATATGTTTGACTGTTCGTTTTATTCAAAAACTTTTGTGATATGTGTAAAACTATATGTATACATAAAAGTATATTTAACAATAAATCAAATGATAGAAAAAGAATTAATAATTACTTAAATTTTTTTGAATAAGACGAACGGTTAAACATTTTTAAAAAAGTCAACGGCGTCAAACATTTTGGGATGAAGGTAGTATATATATATATAGAAGATTATTTATATATAGATCAACTCGCTATTTTGAAGATTATATGAAGATTGTGCATCTGCCAAATAAACGGTGTAGCCAATGACTTTGGACATTCATGCATGAAACCCCACATTCATTGCCGCATACTTCACGTCTTCACCAATCGATCTTTTTTTTTTTTTGAAAAAGTTGGATAGTCTTCTATATGTAGAGATTACTAGTCTAGCTAATTCTTTCAAAAGAGGTGAAAAATTGGTGTTGGAATATAATCATCAGTAGAAGACCTATTTTTCCTGCCCTTGGATAATATTTGAGATACATCCCAATACCTTTTTAGTACTACGAGAACTTTTTCCTTTTGATTCAAAAATATACCAAGAAGTATTACCACATTTTCTAGAATAAAATTTGGTACTCCCATTACCTAAAATACTTCTCTAGCTCTCTAGTAAAAAGATCGGCACTAACAGAACTAAACATGATTCTCCAATGTCAAATAAACTTGACCTAAGAAAGTAGAAGGTACCAAACTTTACACTAAAAGAAGCTAATAATAGTGCCTCCCGATACCTCTAAAAAGTGTAAAATCACTCTTTTAATATACCAAGAGCAACACTAATTATATTAATACTAGACTAGCCAATTTGATCGCCCGATACCTACTCAAAGACAGATAGCTAGAAACAAAAAGCAATTATATACCGTCAACTTCAGTCATGAACAGGGGTACGCAATATGAATAACTATTGGTGTTTCTGTGTTGATTTAAAGAGTATAATTAATTAAGATACTCCCATGAGATGTCTGTTAGAATCTAGGAAAAATAATTTATTTATCTGTCTAGATATAGGATTACCTCTGCCAAATGATTCTTGTTAACCTGCTACGAATCTGTTCTCCTGATCCCTATAATTTACTCCTACATTAGTATAATATTGCACTCAGGTGGCTATTGTTTACATCACGCGGAAAGACAAAGTTTTTTCTTAATCTTTTCTTCGATGTTGACAACTTCCCATGGAGAGGCTAAAACCCTTTGTCAATTAAGCTTGCAGGTTGAAATTTAGATAAATGCGTTTTATGAAGGTCTCCATTGATAGTAGAATCAATCTATACAATTTATCTTTCATAATCCAATTGATCATTAATTATTACTACCATTTTAACTATTAACAATAGAATATATTTTTCTATCGATAGTAGAACTTATAAATTAATGATTAAAAATCACTTATATTAGTGATAATATCAATATATAGTAGAAAACTACTTATTAAAGATCATCGTAAATATAATGTACTACGACAAAAATTAATTAAACCTTGGTCATGGCGTATCCGTGTAAAGGAACAAACTTAACTAATCAAAATCCATATTCACTGCACGATTTATTAATTCTGAAAAACATATTAATTAAATTATTGGCCCTTTATGATTTGTATCTTAGTTTGTTAATGTTTCTAGAATATCCTACGAATACTTTTAGGGGAAAAACTAATTAAGTACTCGAAGTCTTCACGCTCAACACACACATTGATCGGTTCAACTGTTGCTCTCAGCTAATATGTAGTACCAAATAAATCCTAATGATATCTCAACATCTCGGCCTAATTATTGCAGCTCGATCGATCCAACTTAACTGTCTCGTCAGATCACCATCCGACTCGAGCGCACAAGCAAGCAAGATAAGTCGACAAACTATCTAATTAATTTGGACATGTTTAATTTTTATAACAAAGTTAGTCAAGGGAAAGAATTTCTTATGGAGTATTTTGTCCGCCGAGAAAATGGAACTAAGCCTATATATCTATCTATGAAAGTTGCTGTTGAGGCTCCTAATTAATTTGCTTGATTGCACGGATTCAAGAGTGGGTTCCACATGCAGCCAGAGAATGCTTGGGAGCAAATTAAGCTAAGTCATCAAGCAGTAGTACTCCCTACGTATTTTAATTTATGACACCGTTGACTTTTTTATCACCATTTATTTTATTAAAAAATAATTATATAATTATCATTTATTTTATTGTGACTTGATTTTCATCAAATGTTTCATGACATAAATTTTTTTATACTTACACAAAAATTTTGAATAAGACGAATAGTCAAACGTTAGTCAAAAGGTTAACG